ATAAATTAAAGTAAATACTCACATTAGTTGGTGTCATATATTCTGCGACTAAATATAAAAATAATTGTTTAACATTCCAATCAAACAAATGATCAAGATCTAAACATATTTATGTAAATAAAATTTTTTATCTTTAATTCTTATTCAACTTACTCATGTCTAAATTAAGTTGTAATACACCTAAATCATTCTTTTTTCGATTAGCCGAAAAATCCGTCATATGTTTTCTATAATAACAAAAATTAATTCATTATTTATTTGATATTTTCTACTTACACAATTGGTTTATTTACTCCAATTGCTACAGTATCTTGATATTTTTCAAAAAAAGTTGAAAAAAATACACCAATTGTTAGAACAGCAAGAACAGTTAATGTAAAAGCAAATAGTGTATTTAATCGACTGAAAAATGAATGCATTATTATCTAGAAATATTATCACTTTTTTTGTTAATCTAACATATTTTTTTTTTTGAACACACCGAGACGAAAAAAAAATTGAACATAATTAGTATAATAACAAAAGAGAAAATAGACTAATACAATATATATGTATACATATCAGAGCGAACATTGTAAAAAAAAATAATGATAATTACATATCGAAGTGGAAAGTTTTTTTTTTTTTTTTTATGAGCAATCATTCTATATTTATAATATATACAGATAAATTATCTTTTATTTGTTGCTAAGAGTTCATCACAGATATTGGTTAATTCAATATTTTCTTTTTTCTAAAAAGATAAATAAATAAATAAATAAATTTTTTTCTTTTATTATTTCTTTTTGAAGAACAAAATATTTTATCAGTAAAATAAATGAAATGGTCAGTTAGTGATGAATCAAGTTTGCTAATAGATTTAAAGGTCATTAAATAAAATTTACTTACAGTCAATTAAATCAAAGGATAAGCATAGAAATTCAAATGTGTTATAGTGTAATTTACTGATTTTTTTTCTTTATTTTCTTGTGCCATGTAGTACAGCTGTTATGTACAATGTACATGTAGGTACTCTTTGCTTTGACTTTAGCTTAGAGTTCACAAGTAAAAAAGGTAGAGATGGTTGGAAATGAAAGACCTTGGCAAAAACAAAAAGAAATCAAAATATTGGATTGACGAAGCTACATTTGGCAATGTTGATAGAGCAGAAGCATCAATTGAAAATGAACGGTCAAAACATTATACGAACTATGCAAGAAATGGGAGAACAGTTTATTAGAGATACAACAAAGTCAAGCATCGTTAATCCTAGTGCACCTCAAGTATTTATCTACTATATGATGCGGACAGTGAAAAAAACTACTATTTATAAAGTTGATGTTGAGCATGATGATTAAAAGGATGTATGAGTGCGGTTATGAATGAAATAGAAAGTCATTAGAATTCACATTCATACCCTATTTTATACGGATAAAAAAATTCTGCTGATAAAATCTGTATTTTTCACTGATCAAATCTAAATTTTGTGAAACACGATCTAAAAGGAATGTTGAAATATATAGAGTAGAAATTTGCTTCCTCTACAGACAATGGCAGACACGTTAGAAACAACTCATCACAGACCTTAATAGATAGTTTAGCAAAGGTCGTGGCAAATCTCAGATTGTTATTAACTTCCATTAAATCTCTGATTTTTGACAAAAGAATAACATATGACAAATAACAGAAAAGCAGAGATTAGAGATAAAAAAACGAAAAATATTATTTCGCTGCTACTAATATTTTCACGATTACGGTGACAGTGACTATTCATTCCATCCCAATGATGTACACTTATGATCACCATTATATACCCTCAAAAAAGTAAATTTCTGATTTCTTAGCTATTTTTGACATGATAGAATTCAAAAAAAACAGATAATTACATTTATATTTGTTCAAATTCGTAGGATTTTTTCAATTTGTAGAAATTTTGAAGAATTGAAATTTACAATAATTTTGACACATAGATTTCAAAGTTAGTACCAATTTTAGATTTGTCATTCCTTGACTTAGCACTATCCTCTCTCTACATTACTGGACTGTGAGAGACATTGTTAATATACAATCAAAGATTATATATCAATAACGTCTCGTTATAATATATGAGCTACTTCCTTACTACATTTCTAGAGAATTAAATAGACGAATGGTAAAGAAATTTGTCTTAGGATAGATAGAATAAAACAATCCCTATATGATTAGCAAGAGCAGTTACATCGTGTTCTATACTTTAATTCCGCTAACAACTTTTCTTTTTACTGATATAAAATGTATTTATTTTTACTGCTAATTATATAT